GAGACCATTCCGTTGAATCACCGTTGTCCCCCGGCCCATCACGCAAGTTGAGGTTGCCTCCGTAGAGAACCATATGCCTCCAGGATTGCTCCGGAAACAGAGCTATCTCCGCGGTCGCCGCTCAGAATCCCTTATTCTTGAGCCGCCGAAACCTTTCTAATCAGAATCATGAGCAGTCCGACATATTATGCGATATATATAAACGCAGATACGCAGCGCCCGATGAAGCCGCGCGCTGGCCGCTGCTAGTACTTCTGCTCTTATGCGCGCGTGCTTTGGGTCGAATGGGACCTCCCAGCCCCTACAGCTGAGCCTGCGTTCACTCACGCCGAAGAGATCAAAAGATGACGCACCACAATTTTATGTTCCTCAATTTGTTGGAAAAAAGAATCAAATCCATTCGGTGTGGGAGTGTGTGAGGAAGAGACGCCCAAAGTTGTGTTGAACGGGTTCCAAAGGGCAACTCAGGTAAGAGCCATACCGATTCCCCTAACTTTTTTTTAAATATGGTGGGTAGTGGACTAATTCTCTCCTCGTGCGCTCAAGCGGTGTTAAATCATATCACATGTTCTACTTCTACCAAAACCGATTTCCCACCGGGGATGAATCAGAGCCCTTTTCATCCCGTGGAGGGAAAAAAAAAGATTTAAAAAAGGGTGCCGGCGGGCCGGTTCTCCTCGGTGCCCCGGCCTGTTTTCCCAGGAGTTGGTGGGGGCCGGCGGAGGATGGCCGCCGGGGGGGGAGGGGGGGGGGGGGGGGGGGAGGCTGCCGGGTCTTACCGAGCTGGAGGCCGTAGATGCCCAGGCGCGTATCCGTGGCGTTGTGCAGTCGTCTCTTCTTTCGCCAGCAGCGGGCGGGGTACGTGTACATCTGCCCGGCTGCGACGCCTGCACAGGAACAGTGGTGAACAAACAAGCTCAAACAGGACAGTTTGAGCTGAAACACATTGATGATAGAAGGAGAAAAAAAAAAGTTTTAAGAAGGTTCTTTTTGCAATAAAAGAAACGCATGATTAACGGTTACAGATACGGTTCCACACGGAGGGTTCGAGTCAAATCAACGATGGGTTGACAACGCTTTATTTTTCCCTCAATTACTGAGATGATTAGAGACGCCGATGTTCACAGCTTCCAAATTACCCTTTTGTTTTATTGGATAGCTTTTGGCTTTGGACTGTCGGTTTGAAGATGTTACCTTGGGGTGTGTTCACATTTTGAGAGTTGGTTGGTAAATTAACTTGAATGATTGACTAATTAATATTCTTTTTAAAAAGTGAATCAATCAATAATGAAAATGCCTGTTAGAAACATAGTTAATAGCTTTAGATAATGTGGACAAATTGACAAACTTAATGGACCCAGCGGCCGTCCTACTGGTTTACCCACCGGGGCTGCGGTGATGCCGCTGCATCCAGATGTAGCAGTTGTTCTGGGCCACGCCGGTCTGCGAGTCCAGGAACGGCAGGCGCACGCTGCGTTCGGCGCACAGGCGAGCGTTGTAGCTGCGGCACTGCTCAATGGCGTCCTTGTAGAACTGGTCGCCCAACCTGCAGGGGGAGGGGGGGGGGGGGGACGGATGAGGTCCTGAGCCGGGGGACGGCGGCCCCAGGGAGGAGGGGAGGAGGGGGGGGGCGACGTGATCGAGGAGCGGACCGTAACGTGATCACAGAGTCTCGGACGGGCTCATGCCGTGGAAATGGTCTTCCGCCCGGAAGGACGAACCGCCCGTCCGCCCCCGCGCTCCTGATCGCAACTCTCAAAACGACAGCTGAGTCCTCGCTCGGGGGGTTTGGGGGGGTGGGGGGGGGGTACCCAGTTACAACGCGGCTCCCACTCGTGAGGGTAAACGTGTTGTTACATCGGTGTGTCTGGTCTCTCCCACTGTAGTTCCACTTTTCTTAGCACCACTGAGACTTTGCCAGTCGCCCGGGGCTTCAATGTTAATATTCAGAGTGAGTTGGGGGGGGGGGGGGGTTCACATTCAAGCACTCAATCGCTGCCACGCGCCTTGTATAGTAATTAGCCCACTTAATTAATCTCAGATGAGCGCCTCGCACGGGGGCAGGTTCTAATTTGACTACATCCAGAGACGGGGGGGGACGGGGGCGCTAAACGCTCCAAAAATCACAGCAAGGTGCTTTGTGAGTGATTTCCACGGCCCGCTGCTCTTATATCACTGCTTCTGCGAGCACGGACCTCGCCACGTCCCCACAACGAAGTTCCTCCACGTGTTCTCAATTACATTAGCGAGACGGCCATTTTGGACCGAAACTTAATGAGCTGCGTGGCTGCGAGTCGAGCCTGGAATCTTAAAACAGGAGGTGGAGGCCGATGTGTCAGCGCCTCCCAAGTCCTGCTCTCCCTCTCTCTCTCCCTCCCTCTCTCTCTCTCCCTCCCTCCGCATTCACCTCCACCCCTTCGATGAGGCGACGTCCAGCAGATAAACAGCCGCGTCAGGAATGCCGTCGCCGCACAAAAGCCCACGGCTCCGCGGCTCGGACAAAGCCGCAGTGTGCGAGGCTTCTGGGAAAGAGAGGGCTCCGTGTCAGTGTGACTGAGAAGAGCAAACAGTCACAGGTACCCGGCGAGCGCCGGGGGGGGGGGGGTGATGGGAGGAGAAAAATAAAACCAGAACACGACGGGATCCAAAACGCTTTGGCTTAATTGTAAATAAGCACAGCACTACTACACTTTCTCATCCTTAACGGCGCAGGAAGGAAGGGATTTACCCCAAACAACCGCAGATCTGCACAAGCCAGGCTACAGGGGAGGGGATGGAGATCTGCCTCAAGTGAAATGTGCATGGCCTGGTTGGGAGGGGGCGGGTGGGGGTGATGGAGAACAAAGAAGTGGCGGAAGTCTCCCGGAGGGTGCCGACTCTGCACCGAGCAGCAGGTGCACTGGTTTGGGTGAGACATCTTTCTGACACTTCCGATGAGTGTAAGAGAGCCACACATCCAACAAGGCAGGGGGAGGGCAGGAGGGTGACACAGACGTGCAAAAAACACACACACATGTGCGCGCACACCAACAACCACACTGTTTTGGGGTACATGTTTCTGTGTTTTCAGTCTTTGGAAAGACATTGAAGGAATAATCCCATGGAATTGAGCAGCATCCCTAAAACGAAGTACGAACCCTTACTTACAAGAGGAAAAACAACCAGTGCAGTTTTTTAAATTCATCACACAAGGGGTTCAGAGCACCACAGGTCCAGATAACCTCTTGGCTTGTGTGCAAACTCAGGGCGCACTATTGCTTTCTTTTTGTCAGATTTCCCCGTGTTCCCAGATCACAACAATTCAATCTGGTTATCTATAGTTCCACCAGGAACAAATCTGTGATAAATCACAATGATCCTGCAAAATGTAGCTTTGAACCAAGTGCTTTTAGGGCTCAAAGCGGTGCCTCAGAGTGCGTGTGTGCCACACATCCTCATTGTCTCCCAGCCGAGTAGACGCGAGTGCAAACGCCAATCCTGCGCCCATCCTCACGTTCCCGCCTACGGTTTGTTTGGTCACATGGCCGCGACCGTAATCCGACACGTGTCGACATCCAATTTGCATTTGTGATGACAAACTTTACTTGGCAGCTCACAGAGGCCGTGAGTGACCGTGGCGGCCGTGGACGAACCCCAGTGTGGACCGACGGCGGAGAACGAAAAAGAAACACAACCTTCGGGTCTTTTCAGCTCTTCTCGGGAGGTCTCTCAAAATGTGCAGGTGCACTGCTCCTTCACAGGAAGCTAGAGCCACCACATAAAAACCAAGGGGGAGGGGGCGAGGGAGGGCCTACACCCGCCGCTTCATCCTGCCAACAACCGCTGATCACCAATCACAACACAGTGCAGCTGAGGGCAGGAATGAAACCGGAATAAAACACCTCCGCGTGATACGCCACCAAAGCGTGCTCAGCCAACGACAAGGTAGCTGGCGAACGGGGGGGGGGGAAGGAGCCCGCCGGCGTAACGCCAGCAGAGCTGCGGCTGGAAGACGTGTCCGGCTGTGGCTAAAATGTTAATGAGCGGCTTTGGGGAATTTTAATCAAATATTCCAGACTCCATTTTAATCAGCAGATTGCGGAGATTAAAACGTCCTCCCGTGCTCACAGGAGGGACAGACGCCGCACGGGCGTGTGCGCGGGCCTGCACGCCGCAGCTTCAGCCGCCACTCTGCAACAAAGTCAAACCAGGGTTTCATTTCCCTCAAGTGAATCATCTTAATACAAAAAAGAAGAGAAAAAAAAGGTCAAAATGGTCCACGGGAGCGACATCCAATTAGTGTCGAGTGTGACTAATTATAATCTGAAAAACGTGTGAAATGAAGTCAGAAACCCGAGACGGAGGCTAATTATAGCCCGTCGAAGCCCTTCATTAAGCACAGTTGATGGCGAGGAGACGTTCCACATCACAACGCTAAAGCGCCTGCAAGATGAGACAGTAGACACGCACAAAAGCTTGTTGGGACACAAGAGGGGGAAACAGCCCAACAAGGCAATAATGGAAATGTGCCTTTTCAATTAATAACCCTGCTCATCTACCATTCACGTCGGGCCACTCCACCTTCAAGTGCTTCACGGAGCTGTCGGGGTTTCCAGAGGGAGCTGGCTTCCATCGAACGGTGCAACTCACAATGAAAGTGCGTGCAACTAATGTCAAGAAGAACATTAGACATTTTGCATTTAGCAGAGAGCACCGTGCAATGAGCGTGCAGCTGGGGGTTGTCTTGCTGAAGACAATGAACAGTTGGGTTAAATTATTATGAGTAACAAGGCTTCCAATTGGATGTGTGCAAAAAACAAAAAAACATCCTCTGCAACAGCAGAGCTCAACGTCCAATGCAAATGCATAGTTTGAAATGGCCCATCAGGTAAACAACAACATCCTGCAGGCTTCCCCGCGGGCACTGTAACAATGTCCCAACAACAATGGCAACAGCGCGGGCGGCGCACGGTCCGCTCCTCGAGCTCACGGCGCACGGGGGAGCAGATGGTTCGCCCGCTCGTGCCCAACACTTCCCTCCCGGTCGCAGCATCTCTCCGACAGATGGGCCCGGGATCCCGGTTCCAAGCTAATCTCTAGCGCTCCTCCACTTAAAGGCGCAGCGGAGCGTCCCCCTCCCCTCTCTCTCTCTCTCTCTCTCTCTCTCTCTCCTCCCTCCCCTCCCTCCCTCCTCCGCGGTCCCACGCGCGCAGCCCCAGACCCCGATAACGCGTCGATACGGGCCGAGTGCTCCGAGTCACGTCCGACAGAATGTGCGTGCGCGCGGCAACAAAAACGCAAAACAAATTAGGAGAGCAACCCGGGAGGGGGGGAGAGAGAGAGAGAGGGAGAGAGAGAAGAACGGGACGTCGGGCGCGAGGCTAACTTACAGTAACGCGTGGAAGTGGTCAAACCGTACGGCGGAACAAAGAGGCAAATGGAGAGGAAAAAGGTGGAGCTTTTATGTTGTTATGTTTAAGTTGGGGGGGGGGATAAAAGCGGCTATAAGGCGCGTGCTGTTCGAGCACGCAGTGACGAGCCGTTCCCACCGGCACGCGCACATCGCCGCTGTCACTTTGGTCGATTTCAGCAGCCAGCGCAGCGAATACAAAATGCCTCCTCCCCGCCGCGTCTGCGCTCCGAGGAGCCCAAGTTGACATGTCGACAATTTGCACCAACTAAAAACGACTTTCGGAATGTCCGATGATATTTCCGCCCCCCCACCACCACCACCACCCCTCCCTCCAAAACACCCCCTCGACACCCACCCTCTCTGCCCAACCCAGCACGAAGAAAATCGGCTTTTAATGATTCGGTGCAGGGGTAAAAAAAAAAAAAAAAAGGCACGTTGTCGACAGTTTTACGAATAAATGTACAGCCCAGGAAAGACGACACTGCGTTGTGTTCAAGCCGCACGGAAGAAAAGCTCCTCCATTGCGGTCTGAAAGCCGGCCGAACGTACGCGTTTCCGACTAAATGTTAAAACGGTGTGGAATAAAAGAACTATGCGAGGCTACTTTGCCATGCAAGAAGTACACCAAAATGAATTTAGACAGCCTAATCCGCCAAACGAACGTGCTGAAAAACACATGCACGAACCGCCAGTTCTAATGTACAAGTTGGCAACAAAGTAATTGTTCACAATCACCCAAATGTCTTTTATTACTTACGCTTTTAGTGGATTCTGAATGACAGCCGCCATTTTGCTACAATGTAACGCAATATCGGCGTCTTGCAGTTCTGAGGGAAACCTACGCCATCTGACCAATGGGAGCTCGGGGTGAAATCGTGGACCAATAGAACTGCAGCTTGCACGGGCGGGGCGTGGCCTCACGGGGTAAACTGTCAAAATTATTTTAAAGGGTTTTCCCTTCTATTTGTATTGTACACAACTGAATAACATCACTTTTAAAGAGACCCTCGCTGCAGCTCGGGTGAGTAGCAAGTATCAGTTTCCCCGTGACGTAGTGAACACATACAGCGCAAGTGGCTCAGAGGAGCAACACGGGAGCTTTCTGTTAAATTATTTATTAAAATAAATCTAAATCATTTATCATCATCAATAAGCACCGAGCAAATAGTTTCCCCCTCACTTGATGTGAAGCGGCAGCGTTGGAAAGGAGGGGAAGCGAGGCTCACGGTTGTGCACACGGTCTGTTCCTCCCACATACTGTACAGTAAGTGGTTCTACACAGACATATTGAAACACACACACACACACACACAAGACAAAGAGGCAATAGCAGATTCTTTCTTTGACTAATGGGAGCTGAAACAACTTTAATCTTAGGCAAATCTTCCATCAGTTTAGTATGCACACATCGTTATTTATATTGTATCAATGGTTCCAACTTGATGAGGTTGATGAGCATCCAACATGATCAGAAAAAAACTGGACTTTACAAGATAAAATGTCTGGAACAACAAATTGCCCTTTTTTTTGTACATTACGTGTAGTTTTTCCTATTCTATACTGTGCAATATACAGCACCTCCAAGGAGTGTGTGCGCGTGTGTGTGTGTGCGTGTGTGTGTGATGCAACATTCAGACAGATAAATCTATTTTCAGAAAAGGCAGACAAAACATTTTCTCATCAGACGTCAAAACCAAAAATGTCAAAGCTAGGAGCAAAGGGAGAAATCACTTTATCTACAAAGCTTACAATTGACAAAGACCCCTTTTTTTTCTAATTTTAACACCAAAGTACAAGCGTGTGTCAAAGGCATCACCTTGTGCTTTGTAGGACATCCACACGTAAAGCTCTCAAGTCTCTAAACATGGTTCAAAAGTATTTCATTCCTACAACCGAGCGCCGTTTTCTTCTGTGTAATGCCTAAAGAGAAAGGACAAAAAGGCGAGTGGTTTGCATACAGTCGCTACAAAGATATAAATAGCTGTACGTTAATTAATGTCAACAATGAAAACCAGAAAACGAAAAAAAAAAATACATTATCAATAACGGAGGTGAAGTAACGGAAAAGTAGCAAAAAGCTAAAACAACTAAAATATGCTTTCCTGTCAGTCGGTGCCTACAGAGGCGTGTAACACGTAAAGCTGGTTTGAAAACAAAATTGGATCTTTTCCCTTTTCGGCAAACCAATAACCACACAGTAAACAAACGTAAATATCTAGAAAACAATGAAAATCAAGCTGTCAAGAAATCAAATTTGAACATGAAATACGTAGTATAACAGGGATGGTAAAGGAGACAGCGAGGCTCATTCAGAGATCATCCTCTGAACAAGTGGGAGGTCGTGGATCTCACACTGTCCTGCATGCCAGAGTGTTGTTGTTTTTTTTAAATCTTCAATACATAAATCATTTTTAGCGGTTCAAATTTACACTCCTAACGTAGTTCTATGTTTTCATACATCCACACATTACATGATACAATCTAAACATTATACCAGCACAGACATAGTGACCTGAATGATATTTGGCACACCAGATTTCCACAATCTAGTCCCAACGTGGCAGATTTTCAGCTCGGCTTGGGACGGACTGGTTGATCATCTGAATATCTGGATTTTGGCCATGGTAAGCAACAGCCTATAACAGCTGAAAAAGGCTTAGTGCAAAAACTATGATGTTGCAATACAGCATGCAATGGAACCTGCAGATACACCTGCACGGATATAAAATATCTCCTCGCCATTACACGTCATCAGAGAAATGATAATAATAAGAATTGCTGGGAACTAATAACACCAACCCAACAGGGTCCTCAACTAACTAATACCATTAAAATTATACATTTTTTAATATATTTTCTCATAGTAGAAAAATAAGCTCAACAGCTTTATTTAACGTAAAATTAGGGACTTGTGTAAATAAGAATCCAAATGTTCACTCCGAATGATCAGAGTGGTAATGTAGAGCTTCCCACTCAGTCAAGTAACCCACAAGTTCCAGCTGTTGCACAAAAGGCCACAGGAACTCTGCTAAACATCCTATATGCCTAAATTCTTCCTTTACCACAGAAACGAGACAGAACCTTGCGATTGATGGAGGTGAAGCAGTGACGGACTGCGAGCCGGGTGAGCGGTCGGTCAGTCGGTCGCTTGGTTGGTCGGTCCTCTCTGGTGCTCTGAGGAAGGAAGGACCTTCCCTGTTAAAGGTCTCCGGGTTTCTGGTTGCAGCCGGTGCAAACGCGCACGGGGTGGTCCCAGCCGCGGGACGGGACCGAGCGGCGCTCCGGGGAGCAGTCGTCGCACACTCCCTGTCCGCAGGCGCGGCAGTGGTGCTTGGACAGCTTGGCAGTGAACTCGCGCTGGCAGTTGTGGCAGGACAGGATGTCCTGGTCGGGCACCCAGTAGGCGGGGAGAGCGCCATCTTTCATTAGCCCTGCGTGGCGGGTGAGGAGGGGTAGAGGGGAGGAGGGGGGGGGGGTCACGTAACATGAGCACACGGAGATCACATATAGTATCAGGTGACACTTTTACATTTGCAAAACGCACAGGGGTCACTTTAAACTTTATAGTGCTGACATTTAAAGGAACGGCGGGACATATTTGGACATATCGAGAACCCTGTCATGTCTGTTAGCTTAGCTTAGCATAGCAAGACCGGCACAGAGAGAGAACTGGGAGCCTAATTCCTTCCAAGGAACTGTGGACCAACATTACATTTACTGAATGTGACTGCTGAATATACTTGAATATCAGGTTGCCGATGTCCAAAGCCAAGTGATTGACGTTATTTCGGGTTGGTTCAATCCGTACGAAAAGCAAAGTGTGAGAGAGGCGAGATGTGGTTCCACACGGGGTCGCGTCCTGGACATTTTCTTGGCCGGAAGCAATGACTTCCTGAAATCTCTGTTGGTTGCCTGGCAACTGCTCCCGGCCAAGAAACCCAGCCGTCCAGCACATAGCCTCTCCCTGAAACGTAAATTTCCCAAAATGTTGAGTTATTCCTTTAATTGAGGGGTGCATTCAAGTACTGTAATTAAAATACTAGCCCGTGCAGATTGTTTCTATTATTAGTTACCGTTGCTTGACTTTAGCTTCATCCATGCTGTTTTTTTCCTGACAATTTTTTTGAAGTGCACCATAACCTCAACAGTCTTGGTTTTGGTATCCATGGAAACCTGGAATTAAGATGTGGGTTTGGAAGTAGGTATTTTACTGTGATTGGAGCAGACCTTGCTCCGAGGTATATTTTAGGTTATGATGGATCTGGAGAACCTTTCGGCAAAATATCAAGTTATCGACTCCGTAATCGATATAGATCTTATTTAGGAGCCTCGTGAGCATATAATAAAACAGTCTATGAGAAATCTTTATGCATTCAACGTCAAGAAAACTCAATACATTTATACTATACAGCAAACGTGATTTTAAACAGGGTATCTCTCTCGCCTTCGCACTAAGACTAACCAGGATTAGGTAGCAGAGCACTTCTAAATGGAGCCACTGACATTTCCACGAGAGATAGTAAATGGCAGATTAAGCTTCTGTGTCGAGGAGAATGTGGGAGGGTTATAAATCCATAAAACCTTTTTATTGGCAATAATGAGTTAAAAAACAAATGCAACATCACTCATATGAGTCTTAATAATACACAATGTCCAAGCAGTAGAACACAGCGGGCTGTTTGGACCGTGAGCTTTCAGTAATTGAACAAAGCACTATTAGCCCATCAGCGCATCCTGTGTTCCTTATAAGGGAAGCTTTGCCATTGATGCTCCTACGTGACATATTTAAGAGTTAAAACTAAAAAACAGGCCCCTGAAAATAAGCAGTTTACACATCAGCCACCAGAGGGCGTCGTATCCCCTCGGCCTCGGTTACCGGCTCATTTTGTCGCGTTACCTAACGGTCCCCTTTAGGTTTTGTTTTGGGCAACACTCACCGAGTGGGATGTCAATCGCGGTCGCCACGACCCCGAAGGTGTTGGTGACGGCCTCGCCGACCTTCCTGGCCAGGGTTCCGCCTTCCTCCTCCTCGGGCTCCGCCTCCAGCAGCTCTGCACAGAGGAAACATCTGCGCTCAGCCAAACGTCACTCAGAAGACGACGGAAACAAACAAAACCCAATTGACATGCCGGAGAGCGGGGCGCATACCCGCGTACGCCGCTCTCTGTTCGAAGCAGCCGTCGCAGACCCGGACGGGGGCGAGGCCCCAGCCCCTCTCGGGGACGGGCGCCGCTTTGGAAGAGCAGCGGTCGCAGAAGCCCTCTCCGCAGGCACGGCAGTGATGCTTGGTGTCGTTGTCCTGGAAGACCGCGTGACACTTATGGCACACCTTGTAGAAGGGGAAAAAAACACAATAACAACAGCAGCTTTTATTGACCGAGGCCTGCAGGGAAGCGGACGCGCTCGGAGTCCATCTGACTTTTTTTTTTATCTCCTGACCCGCAGCCCTTGCGTAATAGGCAAAGATCCCCACAGGCAGTAAACATAGCCTCGGGACACAAAAGTGTTGACTTGGCTGGTGGCGGCGGGCGGCAGAGGGCGGGGCTGTGCGTGCGTGTCACTCACCGAGATGAGGGAGTTGGGTTTCCAGTAGGCGGGGGCGATCTGATCCGTCAGCCAGGAGGAGACGGCCTTGGCGGGCTTGACGCTGAGCTCTGACACGGACTGGGCCACCAGGTTGACTCCGTCCAGGAGACGCTGAGCTGCATTGCCGTTGTCCTTTAAAAAGCCCTGCGACTGCAAAACAGAGGCACACGCGTAGACAAATGGTTCCCGGGGTCTGTATGATTACAAACGGCACCGCGACAGATCAAGTAGCTTGGTTGTTTTACCCCCGGCCACAGATGCTGGATCTCAGTGCGGACAACCGTATCCACGGGGTCCTGGTTCCCGTACCAGTATTGGCGGCTCCGATAGGTCACCCCGCAGTTGGGACATTCGATGACGTACCTTGACATACATCAGATCATGTAAACGTGCGTGTCGTGTGTGTCACACGTAACCCTGCGGGTCATCCGGCTGCTACTCACCCGGACCAGGCGTACTTGGCGAGGCCCAACCACGGAGAGTCGGAGGAGGCTGAGGTCTTAGGGACAACTACCACTTCCTTCCCCCCTTCATAGCAAGCCTAAAGTGACACGGCACACACCAGCTTTATGCTAATCAATCGTGCAACAAAAGAAAGTGCACAGTCAGCGGGATAGAGAAACCAATCGGTGATGTCGGTACTTACCTTACAGGTATAAATGCGATTATCGTACTGAAGAGAGTAACGGCAACGATGCTTTGCCTCATGGCACACGCCTTCTTCCAAGTGGTTCATGCTGTTCTTGCAGCCGGACCTGGTACAAAAGTAGAACCCCACAATGTTTAACAGTCAGAAGGGCAAGAGGCTTTTGTTTTCACAGGGAAGACGGTACGGACCCGCAGCTGAGGCACAGGCAGGAGCAGGTGAAGTACTCGTCGGGAAAGAAGCAGCTGTGAGCCACCAGCTCGCCCGTAATCTCTCCATTGAAGCGCTCGCTGAGTGCCTGTAGGAGAGTCGAGGACACGCGGGAATCAGCTAGACGCGGGCACAAGCACGTGGGATCAGGTGGAAACAGAATATTAAGGCTTTTTAACAATAACCTAGCTGATATTCAAGCAGGCGTGCATCTCTACCTGCAGGGCTTTGAAGATGACCACCGGCGTGCGCGGGGAACGGGTGGCGTTGTTGTCCAGGAGCTGCTCCAGCTTATTCTGCAGGCCGCGGAAGTCGGTCGGGGGGCTGAGGGTCTGCGTGCCCCAGTACTGAACGGAGCTGAAGGCCTCTGGGAAACGGGAAAGCTTCTTGAAGCGCTCCGACAGCAGCCGGTCCACCGACTCGGATGACTTTTCTACAACACGGACGGAGCGGTTACTACGGAGGGTCAGACTTGCACAGTAGAGGCACAACGCAAAGCTTAAAGTGCCGCGCTTCTTTGAAACATTTATGATATGTGAGAGAAAAATATTAAATCTAATAGTAAAGTGTTCCCTTCACCCTCATTCCTCCTTTGAAAGGGTTGTGGCTCCCTCATAAGAAGTGACTACACTGAAATAAATGAATAAATACACTAAATCCCTCATTGTTTTTCAAGTGTTAAGCTATAAACATGTTACGTGCACCCTTTTTTGTCCTAAATGTGATCTTTCCACATTTCACTCATAGTTGGAAGGCAGATTGTTACCCGGAGGGACGTTAAAAAAACAGGTTGCAGGCTCATATTTCGCTGCAGCTGAAATGATCTACAGAGCTTGAACCTCCGTTCACTTTAAAGGCCTCGCCCCGTGTACCTGAACCGAGCAGCTTAGTGTGGACGGTTTCGTGGAAGATGACCACCGCGGGGCCCAGAGTGGACAGCGGGACGTCCAGGCCGCAGCGAGCCGTGGTGGCTTTCAGCTCCTTGGTGAAATGCTTCAGGTAAGCGTCCGACGCATCCCCGAGGAACTTGAAGAGGTCGTCGTGGAGTCGGTCGGCGTGGGTGCGGTAGATGATGAGGTCGGAGATGGCGAGGACCTTGAGCAGGAGGCGGGTCCTCTGGCCCTGTTTGGAGCTGTTGCCGAGCAGCCCCTCCGTGTCGATGACCACCACTTTACGAAAGGGGTCGAGCGCCGCCCACACGCCTACCGTGCAGGACTCCTGAGCAGGAGAGGTTTTGAATACTTCTCTGCCCATGAAGAAGGCGTGGTTCAGGGTGTGAGATTTGCCTTCTCCCGTGTTGCCAAAGATGGACACCACCTTCAGCAGCTGGTCGGGGTTACAGCTGAGGCTCTTTACAAACGCAGATTCCTCTTTTACCTTCCGGGGGAAACAAGAACATTTGTTAATTCGTTTCGGCGTTTTGATTCCGTTGCTACACTTGACGTATAGCAGGTGAGTCCTGAACAAACTCACCTGCATTTCCTCGTTCTCATCAACCAGGAGAAAACTGGAGATCTTCTCCAGGAGTTTTGCTCGATGAGATTTGCCGTCATCGGGTACTTGCGCGGCAAGCAGGCCGCCGGCGGCGGCGGCGGCGGCGGCTGGCGGGCCGGCAGGCACGGCAGACGTCTGGACAGAGATGTCCTCGGCCGGTTTAGGTGGTGGGGGGTAAGACATGAGCTGGTGTTTCTTCTTGTTGCCTCCACTGTGGGTGCGTTTCTGGCAGTCCTGGCACAAGTTGACCTTGCAGTTGGGGCAGCGGACCGCCGAGCGATGGCGCTTGCTGCCGTCTCCATTGCCCCCTTTACAGCTGTCACAGTAGGGGACGTGTCCCGGTCCGATCCGAACCCGCGCGTGGTGCTTCAGGCGCTCCTGGCTGTGGAGCTCGAGCTCACAGCGGACACACTGCAACCTTTTGCATTCGTCGCACTCAAACGCAGCCTCCTCAGAGCCCCCGCAGGCGTAACTCTCCTGACATATTAGGCCGGTATTGACTCCCTTATCTGAAGATGAGCCATGACCACTCATTGTTTCTTACGCGGAAAACTTGAAAACAGAGCGGTGCTTACTCTGACAGCCTTTATAACAGCACCAGCTATTTCTAATTTCAGTTAGTGCAAATTGTACAACATATAACAACAACAACAACAATAATAAAATCAACCTACTGCATGGTCACAGCACTGCCGATCCACTGACTAACAGATAAAATAATCAACAATAATACTATTAATCGAACTGGGTTTCTGCAGCATGGATTTCAAACACTCACAATGGAAATAATAATGTTATTTAGTGCAACAACCGGTGAGGCAATGAGCCAGAAGCAGCTGACTCCTTGAGTTACACCAGATATGTTTTTAGCTCGGACCCAAAGGTAGCATTTAGCTTAGCATCAAACACGTCAAATGTCCAAGGCTAGCCTACACAACTACATAAAAACACGAACATGTAGTGTGACACGTCATACAGTACTGACCGAGACAATGAACGGATGAATGTGCAATTGTTGATGCTAACAACAGGCTAGCTAGCAAACGGACCCACAATGGCTCGCTGGGATCACTGGGCATCCGGAGGTCAACACTTTACGACCAGCTGGTTTCGACGGACAGTGTTGACCAAACGAAATAAATGTAATTATCGGGCCAGCGAGCTCCAACACTTCACATCCGTGGAAACAACCAGCTAGCCGCAAGTCTGTCAACTGAGCTGTGACAACATATCAACAAAAACAACCAGCGGTCGATGTCACGAGCGCGGATATCAGCGGACTCTTTTGCTTTGAAACGGGAGGGAAATCCGCGCTATTCCATTTAAAAGTCTTTAAAAGTGTTACTGCATTTGAATCCTTCCGAGCGGTGTCATTGTTTTGTTCTTCGGACCCCCTCCCCAGCAGGTTTCTCTAGCTGCGCTATTTTGTTGCCAGGTCAGATCAGCTGATCAGATTATTTTCAGTCACAGGGTCAGGGGAGGTCGCGGTGCATGACGGGAAACGTAGTTCTACGCAGAGGAGCTTCTCTTAAAAAGGAAGACGCACAACCGCATACGAAAATGATTTGAATAAATACTGGGATATTTTTTATATTGCATAGTTGTTAAATGTTTATACTCTATCTATTGTACTTTTTTGTTGTCCTTCTTTTGTTTTTTCGTATTTATGATGAATGTCGAAAACAAAGTTGAAACTAGAGTAAAAATAAACAATCTGATTCTGATATTATTTCCCAGACCTTGTATTTTTTTTTTTTTTGTGTTCTGACACAAAAAAAAATCAAAAAAGATCACAAGGTCTAAGTTGTTGTGGCAAATACCCGCTAATGTAGCAATTTGAATATTTGAATGAATCATGTCTTTTTCTTTAATATCACAATCATAGTGGATGAATTGTAATGAGACTTCTTCAGTCATTGTAGCCAAGACATTTCCAAGTGGGGGCTTGTTTAAAAGTCATTGTGTTAAACAATTGTGAGCATAAGCTTTCAAACAGAGGCTGGTTTTAAATGGCTTTTGTCTTGTAAAGTAGCACTTCAAAGTATCAGCAGGTGACCATTCGTCTTAAATGAGCTTTGTGTTTTCCCTCCATTTCTACTAACAGCTTCCTTCTTATGCAGGGTCTGCAGAAAACATGTCTTGCAATTTGATTATTAAAGCCACTAAAAACAAAACACCCACTTGCAGTTAAACAGGGGTTGTATGGTGCATTTATTACAAACCTTAAATTACAAACAAATAAAACATCAACGACAGGACGGAGAAGACTTGATAAGCAGGATGTGGCCTCGCATGAAGATTGTCACATTTCAATGAATGTCAACGCAGGCTGTCGATGATCATTAAGTGTTTCATTGCACAAAATTCACACTGTGGAGAATGTTTGAGAAGAATGCACAGTGTGTCATGAGACTCCCCAGACGAGCTGTGTCCATTTAGCAGCGTAAAAACAATCCACTCTTTGACCCCCACAAATCAGATTAATCTAAAGATTTTCCTCCATCCGGAATCACAAAACGTCTTGAAGCGTTTGTGCAGGCCGAGCCGCGTGGACGCTCTACCCGCGGTGTGCTGGTGCTTGATGGCGGCGCGTATGGCCCGGTCGAACACGTCTTTGAGGTTGTGCTGCGTGAGAGCAGAACACTCCACGTAGCCCTGAGCTCTGATCCTGCGTGCCACCTTTGTGGCCCGGCTGGCGTCCACTGGCTTGGCGCTCCGCTGGTCCAGGCGAACGAGGACGTCCGCGTCGTGGCAAAGGTCTGACTGAGTCCCAACCAGGAGGACGGGAGAGGTTCTGTTGTCGGCTCGGATCTGCGGGATCCATTTAGAGGTGACGTTGTCCAAGGAGACGGGGTGGACCAGGCTGAAGCAGAGGACGAAGACGTCCACGTGGGCGTGGCATAGAGAGCGAAGATGACCAAACTCCTCCTGTCGGATGTAAATTGGCGAGAGATGAGGAGGAAAGGTCTGGCGAGATCCCATTGTGGTGTGGGACACTTACCTGTCCTGCAGTATCTATCAGCTTGATACGAGTTGGAACGCCGTCCACGTGAACCACACCTGTGCGCCAAATAGAAATATAAATAGAAATAGAAACCACGGTCATCTCTGAGTCAAGCCCGGCTTTAACCTTTGACAGAATGACCTTCACTCACCAGTGAAAACATCAAACGCCGTCCGTCTGTAATCGCTGTTGTATCCGTTGAAGATGTAACTGATGATCATGCTGGTCTTCCCAACCGCTCCGTCACCGACCAGCATGCAGCTCAGCTCCTCCCTCAGCCGGCTGGGTTTATCAAACCTCTGACAGGCCATCTTTCCACGTGTGTTCAAGCTACTCCATGTTTCCGAGCAGGAGTTACTGTAAAAGACGCGTCCTCTCCCGCAGGGGCCAGTTGGGGCCAGTAAAGGAGAAAGGACCCCTCGATTTTGAAAGAACAAAGGCACCCAATCAGACGAGAGACTCCCCAGAAGATAGTCTGTTTCCATTTGATGCTGATTAACATAGTCCCGCCCACCAACAGGCCTGACTGCAACTCTCACCCGCCATATTAATGAGCTTAATAATATACCTTGTGAACTAGTTTCACAATATGTAAGTATGTTGTTAGTTAACTAAAGTGAGTTTAATAAGTAGAATATATATATGTATATTGCTTAAATACACTGCTGTGTAATAACTGTGTCATTTGTATGTTACTGATTCATAAAAGCTGGTGCTGCATTTATATTTGCATGTGCGCTCATTAAATTGGGCTACTTTGCTATTCAATAGTTGAGTGTAATACAATTGCTGATCCCTAGAGGAGGATGTTGCCTCGGAAATGACTTTAGCACGTCAGTGCTTTTTTAGATTAGATTAGATTCAACTTTATTGTCATTGCACAGGGTACAAGTACTGAGGCAACGAAATCCAACATCCAACATCCATCTGTTTCTCCTGAACTTTTTGAGATTTCGCGGATGGTCTGACACATTATTTCTTGTTTGTGTGTGTGTGTGTGTGTGTGTGTGTGTGTGTGTGTGTGTGTTTGGTCTTGCAGTGGGAAAGGGAATTCTCATCAATCTCAAAATTTCATTTATTAATTCACTCAATTATTGTTGGCACAACAGATCTGTTTGCTCTCCATTTCCCACCTCACTAACTTTTCCCCCTGAATTGGTGTATTGTTAATATGTTTTTTTAATATTTAAATGTTATTCTCTGAAGGCGGCTTCATTCTCATGTGTAATGGAGGTGAAGGGTACAGCTGAGGGGGCATTGTTAGACTTTCACCAGCTGCAGTTTATGGCAGAAACCCCGTTGGTCATTTTTCATCCTGTCGGTTTTCGGGGTGACTGAGTTCGTTAGTAAACCAAAGGAAAGGAAAGGAAAATAAACACAAACTCAAACATTCACACGTGCTTCACATATCATTTATATGATAATGCCTAAATCAAAAGTAGTGATCATTTGGATTATACCATCAGGTGCAAGATAACCCTGACATGTTGTATCCAAGCATGAACCCCGTTAACGAGCAGACAGCTTCACTGGCGTTCTTGATAAAGTTGCACTTATTCCTGATCCTAATGTGACTATTTGTTGGTGAATGTGTGACATTATTTGGTTAGTTGCACTGCCTCTCTTGCATGGAGCTGCTTCTGGTCCACAGTTGTAAAGATCATGATTATGTTCACAAAGAGAATAAATGAGCAGGTGATGATGCACATAATCGAGCCTTCAGGTCATCGCCACATAGCAATCCTTGTCTCGACCTTACGAAGCACGTTTTAATTGTCAAAATGATATTAATCGCATGGTTTATAATAAAACACAATATCGTACTGCATTTGCTTTGATAAAGCTCATTACTGCAGTTATATAGCTTTGAGACATCAGAGCTGCATCCATTAAAACGCTCTTAATGCCCATTATCAGTGTGCAGAATAACTGTAAGTAAGCGTAAAACAGGCTTTTAGAGATCGTTGCACATTTGTGGGTGAAAATGCAGCTTTACACAATGTGCTGTTCCTTATCTGTCTGAGCCTGCAGGAAGCTCCGCGTGCATTGTGTTGTAAGGTCCCTGCTTCCTGTTTGCCGGCGTCCCTTGTTCACTCGTTCTTTGCTCCCTTTCTCTCCCCCCTTTTCCCACCACCTGTGCTGTGTGAGTGATAGACTTTATTCCCCACAGTCAGAGGACAACATCTGGTCCCCCCCCCCCCCACGCCCCCCGCTCAACACACGTCATATTGTCAGCTCGGCTCCCATGCTGCACCTCTGGCAGCTGTGAGTCACAATGCGTGTGTTCCTTCAGCCAAGGTAAATGTCAAACACAGGAAACGGTCTTTAAATATCTCCACATCCAAAGATGCTCTTTCCTGCAGCAGCCACTTTCATCACAGATCAACCAGTCGACTGCTATTCAACGCCGCGAATGCAAATGTGTTTGCGTGCACCTGAGCCCGTGCGGCTCATGACTTTGTGTTATTAAAAAACATGTTTTGGTTGTGCATTCTCACGCTCCGTCTCCCTCTACATGACTAGACATGCAGAAATGCATCGTGACACAGATTTATGAAGGTAATCTGCTTAGAAAGTGTCTCTCAATGTGTGCAGCTTAGAGAGGGCCCCCGCCTCGCACACAGCACGCCTAAAAAATCCCTTCCTCTCACGTCGACTGATTCATGAATTATTGCAAGAAAAAGATCAACTCAAACGTCCCTCTTGTGTCTCCTGAACTGCTGCTCTGGTTGTTGACAAGTAAACAGGTAACTAGTAACTAGTTCAAATTCATTACTACATTCGTTCTGACAACAACAGAGAAATCTGCCATATAGGTGTTAAAAGATTAAGCCCCTCCCTAAGCCAGAGATCAGCGCGGCGCACCGCAGACACAAAACAAGTGGCTGACACCGAGATGGAGCAATAAACAAGCCGTTGGAATAGCATTTACTGCATAATGTCTCTTTAAGTAGATATCGCCTATAGGCTCTTAAGTGGTGAGGATTAGAGCGGGAGGGGTGCTTCCATCACGCTGAGACCTCTCACAATGGAAATGCCCCCCCCTGTATTCTTTAGCTCCCAGCCGTGACCCCAAAGTCGCGGCTGGGAGACATTTTACCTTGCTAAGCATGCATTTGCCATTATACTTTGCCATACCGTGGACAAAACATCCCAAACGCTAAGCTAACAGCTAACGGCTCTGCGGGGCATTAGTGGCAGGAAATGCAAATGTCAGTATGCTAGAATGCTCATAATGTAGCTTGTTGCCTAGCAGCCAGATACAACCCACTACCCACCACAACTCAAATCCCAGCACTGCACCAAGTGGTTGATGGGAATTCCGACCTGTGTGGACCCCCCCACCCCCATCCCTGCACCACCTCTCAGCTGACCCCCGTGGGTTCTTGACTTGTAGCCAGCGATTGCAGGAAAGCATAAATCCCTCCTGTGAATGATTGCAGCCGTGTGAATGAGGATGTACGTGCCTGGCCTTTTTTTTTCTCCATTGGATCAGTGCATCTGCAGTTAATCTGAATTAATATAGTTTTTGTTTTTTTTAAAATCATTTTGATCTGAACCAGCTTAGGGTAAGTCAGCATGTCCCAATTTCTAAGTAAAGCCTAAGTGTTTTGGGGCTTTTGTTGGCCAGCGAGCAGACCCGTCAATTTAGTTACTCCTGCTCCATTAAACCCTGGCGGGGGTCCAGAAGCAGCGGACTAATCCTACTTTACCCTCCGGAGAGCATCACAGGGGGCCCGTCCTCCACGCCCCTCGGGATGTACAGTCGGCCGGCTTCAAAACAGTCAAACAAGTGTCCTTCGATCCATTGTACCGAAGTGTTCTACTCTTAGTATTTAATACCTGACAGTGATTTCACACATTTAGTAGTGAAAGTTAAATCTCATAGAGAAAAATCTTGCGATTTGAGACCATGGATTTAGGGGTTTAGCAGAGTAATATTGTATATAAATACCTTCCCAGGTCAGATAAGCAGATGTGATGATATATAGGATCAAAGACCTTTTTCCTTTGGAAGCTGTTGAAGTTACGATGATTCCACGTACGAATGCACATTCCCATCAGTCCGTCAACATGTGAATGCTTGATCCGAGGGATTCCAGGGAGCTGATAACAACATCACCAGGGGTCTGACCCTTTGGCCTTTGAAGCATCTGTGTTTTCTTCTTCTTCTTCTTCTAGTTTCAATTGGCTCCACATCAATCCACACAGCAGCATACGTCCTTGCGGAGCCCGATTAGAATCCATTTAAACAGGAAGCCGTGCCGCAAATTGGCTGATTAACATGAGAACACAATCTTTTCAAAGGGATAAAACTTCCCAAACAACAAATTACATTGCATCATTACTTGCCATTACACACTTAAGAAAGCATTTGACTCAGACTGAAGATATAAGTAAACTAATAAACTTATAAAGTTAGTGTTGGTCAGAACAACTACGTCTTCATGGCTTATTTTGATGAGTTCGTTAATTCGTTGATTGCAAAATTGGATTTTTCAAAGTACTGCCAAATCAGTGCCCTTTTATTGCATTGGATTAGTTGTGTGATACAGCAGCACAAAGTCTGTGAGACTCGCTCCGTGCAGCTGCTTGATTGTGCGCTGCAGAGTAGCACCGTAAAGTGGCATTGATTTTTAACCTCTGTGAGCGTGTGGGAAACAGAGCTGCCTTTCCTGCTCTTTGAGAGAAAACACTCCAGAGGAAAATGGCAGGAAATCTCAGGGGTCTTTTGATTCAGTGCTGAGAAAGTGAGTGAGAGTACCTGAGAGCTGAGACTCCGAGGAGGGAAACGTCAAGAGGTCAATTAGAAAGTCCTTCACAAGGTCATTCAAAAAAACAACAACTATCAAATAGTGCAGTTTGGGGTAAAATGAGCAAACTTTTAACGTATAACTTTTCAGAATCGTTTGTGTCCGCCGACAGGGGGGGCTGGAGTCCCGCCCACTTTGGGCCTTTTCCCCCTCTGTTCCCGCTTCCCCTTTGGTACACAAGATTTCTCTCATCAACCATCAAAACAGAGTGGATGCCAGCCTTTTACTTTAGATTAGATAGAAACACCAGAAATATTATACACAGGCATTCATCTTAAAATCCATCCATTTCTTAACCAGATTTAAGGAAAGAAAGACTCAAAGCACATTTAAATATTCCCCGCACAGAGTTTCTCGAAGCCCTCGTAGTTCCCTTGCTTTCTAAATTTAGCAGCAGTTGAAATACTTTAGCTGTTCTGGTGTGGCCCTTCGAGGGGAAATATTATGCAATCGTTTTTTTATTCATGGCATGTGTTGACGTCCAGAGAGAAAGGTAAGTAAATATAGCGAGTTGGCCAATCATTCCCCAGCAAGGGCTACTATGTGAACACGGTGTTCTGTTTTTACCAAAAACAAGACCCTCCCCTTTTTCTGCACTGGGTGTCAGCACTCCACCGCTAAGTCATTGTGTTGTTTCATCTAAAAGCCAAAATATAAACTGACTTATTAAGAAAATAAAGAATGAACAAAGAAAGCCGGCCGTGTCCTCAGCTTTGGGTTGCCGCTTGGCCAAATGTCACCGTGACATTTCCCCCGGCGCTGGAAAACCCCACCGGCTGCACCCAATTGTCGTGCTCTGACCAAGAATACCACCACCACCACCACCGTGCTCGGCGTGAAGGGACCACGCCGGTCGCTGCCATGCGTTCAGAGTTGGAGCGGACGAGGAAACACATGCGCACCTTCTCCCTCGGCCCAGTTTAATAACTCGTAGGCCACACAAACATCCTCCACATCCAGAACACATGCAAATGTGAGGTGTCAACATGGGCTTCTACGTGGTACTTTGCTATCAATAATTTCCAACAGAACTTGTGTAACATTTTGAAATACTTGTGCTTCGAGTGGGGCCACGATGAAAAGTTCACTCGCAGATGACGTCTCCTCTCGGGGCCTGAAACCCCTCAGCCGGGCGCAATGAGCTGTGGTGGGTTCCAGTATGAAAGACATTAAGGAAATCTAATTAAGAGCAGCCATTAAGTGCCATTCCTCGGGGATAAAGCAGGCTAATGAAGCAGGAGGCAGCTCTCTGGCTGGAGATTTAATTTTGTCAAGCCTGGTTCGGTCTCCATGCCTGGCTCCAAACAGATTGGATTAAAAGGCCCAGCGGGCGTGAGTCATGTTCTCTTTGAATGAGAAGAAACAGTTTGCACATCAACCACTGGCGATGATGAATGGATTAAAGAGCGGTGTTTATCACAGCGCAGTGATGGATGACTTTAAACTGTTTTGTTTCTCAAACAAGACGAGCATCAGCTCACGCCCTGAAGTCAGAAACGGTCTTTTGATCCGAGCACAGAGGAAACACAAAGGGTAACTTTGGTTATTTTCAACCTATTTTCCCCAGTTTTAACGTCTATGGAGTAATGAAGACATCTATTTGGAATTTGGTCCAGTATCGAGCCAGAATGCAGGAGGCTTCAGACGATAAACAAGCTGCAAGTACTTGAGGAAACTCGTCGTTGGGTAAAAATACCTCGGTTCTAACCTCGTTTCATGGAGGAACATAGTTTCTGTGGGTTTATGTCGCCTTCTGCCACTGTTTGTGGCTTCCTAAAGGACGGCCTTCCTCTTGTGGCCTCCGTGACCGCACGGCACTCACGTCCACCGGCAGGAACCCAGCGAGGAGCGAGGTGACCCTCAGCAGAGAGAGGCCCACCTCCCAGTATAGGAGCGGATGGACTCCATTAGCGGCACAATTACTTTCTCTTTAACACACTTCCAGGGTGACCTTCAGCCCGCCCGCTCACCAAGCCAAGGTCAGGGGGTCAGGGTTCAGGCTGGGCACACATTAGCATGCAGGTGGCAGCTCCAAAAATCATCAGCAGGAAGAATGTTTTTGGGGGATGTGCGACCACTATTCTGGGTGATAATGGGCATCCTCAGGACATGACCTCAACCTCCACGTCTGACACCGCGTCCTGGGGAGCAAGTGACCTCGTGAAAGGTAATCACATTGATGTGGGGTTCAAATATAATCGGCAGCATTTGTACTGTACCTTGCAATTTGATGTCGATGGATTATGCTGTTATTTTACGTTGTTTCGCTGTATATTCAATGCTGATGCATGAATAATAGGCAAGGCAAGGCAATTTTATTTGTATAGCACTTTTCATACACAAGGCAGACTCAAAGTGCTTCACATTATAACATTTCATACAATAAAGTGAAATAAAATGCAGGAATTAAAAAAAAATTAAAAACAGCGAATAAAATTATAAATTAAAATCTTATTTAAATTGTTTAATTAAAGGCAGAGGTTAAAAGTGCAATGTAGGTAAAATTTAGCAGAAGGCGAAGCTGAACATAAAAGTTTTCAGTCTTGTTTTAATTGTGGTCAGAGTTGGGGCAACTCTTAAATCTTCAGGAAGTTTATTCCATCTGTTTGTTGCGTAGTAACTAAATGATGCTTTCCCATGATTTGTATTTACTCTGGGAATCACTAACAGATTGGTGTCAGAAGATCTTAGTGATCTTGAAGGTTTATGTAGTGGAAGCATATCAGTGATATACTTTGGCTCTAAACCATGTAGTGATTTAATAGACAGTCATGTGGAAATGCTTCTCTCTTTGTGAAAGAGCATCCTCTTACTCGGTTACCCTGGGGTTCCATATTCCCTCTGCGCGTCTCCAAAGAGCCCTAACAGGGCGGTAAGGGTCTCTATTGATCAACTCAAATCTTTATTGTCAGAACTCCAAATGACAGAGCAGTAAATCAAAATGCTCTAATGCAACATAATTGATCTTAGATTGCATGTAGAAAAAACATGTTCCAGACTGCATGTCCACATTTAAAACAGCCTTCATGACGTAAAGGATTAGCGTTACTATTGAACAAGCTAACTGTATTGTTTAATCAGAGACAGCTTTAATCACCTTTTAATGTTTCCACCTAGTGGATACCTTCACTGGCAACAACAAATGAATGAGAGAAAATAGAATTTGTACCAGGAGACGAGATCATTTTGTTGGGCGCTACATGTTACAACACCGTTTTATGACATGTTATCTGAAGCCGCGGACACGTGCGTGTTGTTGACTCATCCCTCTCCGCCTGCGTGTCTCGTTAGCCTCGTTGGAAACAAAACGCCGCGTCTCAGGCGGCACGGAGAACGCGGTGTGATTTTGGCCCGAGCAGAGAACAGACTCTCAGAGGCAGAGCCATAAAGCGTTCTTTCCAGTGCCTGGATGCTTTCTCGGACCGTTGAGCGGTGAGCCACATACCAAGCATGTGGGCAAGTTAATCCACGGTCCTGACATGTGGCATGTGCACACGTTATTGAAACGTGATCAACGTCAAAGAAACTCCATCTGCAGCCCCCCCACCTCTCAATGTAGCCCCTTTGCCCTCTGCCTACACATATAGCAGCATGCAGGCGGTCACTGTTTGCACTCTTATTCTAGTGGTGCATGATTTATACTTAATTTACATCAAATGTAGATATATTCCAGATATTTTCCTGCATATTTGTTGTACCTGAGAACTTCGGGGTTTGGAAGTGTTTGAGGAAGGCTGAACAACAGGAGTTTGAGCTTTAAGGAACCGTGGCCGGTTCTTGCCACGTCTCGTTTACAGCTGTACGTTCCTCAGCAACGGGATGAAGCATTTCATTATAAACGCCAATTGCTCAATGCCGATTTCAGGTTGTTGTTTTTTTAATATGTGTGAATGTACACGGTACAAATGTTTGGTTTTCAACCGTCAATTTCAGTCCTGAAGGTCAAAAGGCCACAACTGTGTGAGGTTCTGTTACGCCCTGGAAACAGGGGATGTCCTCCTTGAAAGCAAATCAATACAAGCTCATTCCCCTTTGACCTGAAACATTAACAACTGTAACACTGGAGCGTGATGGAGGCGCCTCATGGACCCCCCCCCCCCCCGGCAGAAGGGACTTTTGTTCAGGCGGCGCCATCACGAATGCTCAGAACAGCCGCCTCGATGGAGAAGAGATGCTCGTCCTCCGCATCGGGACAGCAGCGCCTCATGAACTCCGCCAGGCGGACCAGGTATTCCGTGTTGTGTCCCGTGTTGCCCCTGCAGGAGGCAATCTGGGCGGCGATCTCCTGGTCCGGGGCCGGGCCGAGGTAGATGGGGTTGTCGGACGTGGCGATGTAGACCAGGGCCGACAGGGCGCCCTGACCCTCCTCCTTAGGGGTGAACTCCACCGTCTCCGTCATGTAACCCCCCAACACGACCTCCCTCACGTTAAGGTACTGGAGGGACTCTTGGATCTGGGAGGCAGTCACCTCGTAGGCAACTCCCCATGTGCAGGACTGTGGGGGAAGCAGGTGGAGGAGGGATGTCAACGGGAGAACAAATACACCATCTAATGATTGTGCATGTCATGTGAAACCCACACAAGTGCATTAATTTAGCTGTTAGTCTACATTTACAGCAGAAAAAAACGTGATGATACACTTGCAGCTTCCAAATGAAGGAACCGTACCTCCTGATCCTCCACTAGTGTGGCCACTCTACCTGGCTGTGGAGGAGACGGGCAATGAAAAAAAACATACTTGACACACAGAAAAATGAATAAATAAACAACTCAGATCATCACAAAACATTGGATTGAATTGGACAGCAAACCAGTTGTTTTGTGAATCTCACCTTTTCCTTCCCCCCTCGATGGAAATTATCTCCGTGCCAGAAGCGCCGTTTGTATCCTCTGATGAAGCCAACTGTGCGCCTCTTGTATGTAAATTCGGGTTTCCACACTAAGGAGCCATATCCGAAAATCCACAGGTTCGTCTTTTCATTCATAGTGTCCTGTGGTTTCATTGCGGTGCTGTTTATGTGTCTCGTCCCGTCATTTCCTCCCTCGTTTCTGTCGTCATGTGCCGAGTGCGTGTTTTCCCAAATCTAATTGCGTATTTATAGAAAGGCTCGAGTGTCTAGTTATTATTTCATCATCGGGAAGTTTCTCCTGCTGATGAACACACTCGCGTATTTGTTTTTTCCGAGCGCGTCACAGCGAGACGCTTTCGACCAATCGAATTGTCGGAGGGGCGGGCTCAGCAAACAGATTAACCAATCAGGGTGAATTTAGTTTAGCACCGAATACCAGCGCGTTCCTATGAAATTGAAGTGAAGCCTTATACTTTGTGCAGAATTTACAGTAGATATAAAGGTACCAACACAACAACAAATACCTTTGAGATCAATTAAAAATGAAAAAAAGTGTAAATATCTATGTTTTTTCTTGTGACATGACCGTGATCAATATATTTCTTTCACATCATGTTTAACGCCATACAAACTTGTTTTGTTCCAACAATTATATTCATTAAAAAAAGCATTGTGAGTTGGTGACAGTACCTATAAATACCTGGGATTGTTATGTACGTCCTGTCCTAAGCTCATTAAGTGGATGTGCTCAGGTCTGAACAGCTCCCACGGGGCCAGCACAGGATGAACACCTCATGACTGCCTGAGATCTTTTGTCCTCTGCTTATATCTGCACGGCGGTAAGTTTGTCAAGGAAACTGTTTTCTTGGAACTTCACACAAAGCGCATCGCCCCTAAGTGGTACGTAACCAACATTGCTCCACTCCACTAACTAAACCAATCCCCTCGATATTACCTGAAGGAGTTCAGGGGATTCGAGGGCTCTGCGTCGACCCGGTTGAGCGGCCTCTGTTTGCTGTGCTCGGTGGTGAAAGGTATATGTCGGGTTTTATTGTGTTCCTCACATCTCGCTCTGTCCCCTCCTCCTTTTAGGTGATGTTCAAGAAATGCAAAAGGCAGTTTGGAGAAGCCGTCACGTGCTGCAGAAAGGCCCCGAGGACTCTTTATTTTCATTTACAGATGTTTCTTTTCAAAATGTCTATTTTCGTTTGGGTAGCCTAAATCCTTCCTGCTCGCATTATGATTTCACATCACAGCGTTACAGACGTCATGCACAACCATCAGAAAAGCTACGAGGCCTAATAGTTCTGTATCTAGACACAATGAGGCCACCTCGACGGCAGCTGAGCATCTAAACGATCTCAACATTTAAATCACGCATGTACACTGGACCAACAAAAACAAACCGTGTACCAGATATGTGTTCATTGTTTCTTTTTATAACAAAAAAATAATACAAATAAAACACCCACGACGCTTTAAAAATAAATTCACCTTTTTTCTGGGCATCAACTTAAAAACAGATGTACAATCCATACTTATAAATATACACTATATACAAAATAATCTTATTAAACACAGAAGGAGGAAACTAGTGCTTCATATGCTTAAATTACTAATGAAATACTAATCTTACAAAATAACATTAATGGTTTAGTAATTTCCTCTGAAGGCGTCCTTGGTACGATAGTCGATTCATGTGTTTCTTTGCATATGGTAAAGCGAGTTTCCCTGCACGGCGCTGCAGCACATTGCATCATTTGATATATTCATGTTGCTTTGCAAAGGACTCAAGATAAGGCGGGGCACAAGGTTTTTAAACACACATGATATATATATATATAAGGCTTTGTGATCAAGGCTGCATACATTCTTCATACAAAAATTGATTAACAAATTTCATAACCCTTTATCCTTCACAAATGAACCGTTTTCAGTAGTTTTAGTCCCTTTCTGATTGAGCTCAATGCTGATTTTGTTTGTTTGTTTGCATAGCGCATTGCAGGCCACAAACGAAACCTCCCTCAGCAGGTTCGTTGGCAGCAATTTGTATTTGTTGATCGCTGATTACTGCAACAAGGTGGAGAGAAGAGAGTCCTCTAATCAACACGCGGGCGTGAACATCCTGGCATGTTGCCCGTTTGGGTTTGTGTCCAAAACAATCGAAAGGCGCATCCACAAGTAAGATTTGCTGATTGTTCAAAGTCTTTTTAGTCTTTACATTCTCACCGAGATTAGTAGCTTCAGTTCGTTTGATTGTTCCGAGGAGCAACACCTGCTCCATCCAGTTGTCAGGTTTTCAAAGCAGCAACTCCCATTTAAATAAATCCCAGTCTCTCCACACTTGTAAACAGTCCACAAGAAATCCAAAGTTGACCGTGGATGATCATTTTCATTTTATTATACCTGAAAAAGAAGCAGATGGAAAGAGCTTAACGATTGAAATGTGGTCTGGACATGACGGGGAAAAAAAAGAGGAAATAGACTTATAGTGAAAAAGCTTTACCTCGGTTGCAATGATGCATTCGTTTTTCTCCTCTGCTCCAAACACAGACTGGTACATCGAATTGCTGGAAGAACATATCGTTGATATTCTACACTCTGGCCTTTCTCTGCGGAGGGAAGATACACCACGTTAGTTTCAGAGCACAAAAACAAAAGAGGTCTCACAATATTCAGTCTCAATTGATCTTCTAATCCACATCCAAACAAAACCCACCACAGGGTAAAAGAACCACAACAGAAACGGAAAAAAAAGTTTAGTCCCTTACCTGTACATTCGACTCAAATGCTTTTTCTCTTCTATTGTCTTTTCACAGTTTTACCTGTTTCTACAAAGGGACATGTCGTCCTTGTACCCGGGGGAGGTTTTATAGTCCAGGTGGTAGTGGTTGATGTATTTGTGATTAGACTTTTCCCTGGGACAATCCACCTCGCAATCCACCTTTTTATTGGTGTTCTTGAGCTCCAGAGTAGAGATGAGGTTCTCTCTCTGAAAGTCCACCTTGGAGAGGTTGTTCATGGTCTCCGAGTCCTGCTCCTTCCTCCTCCGCTTCCTCACGTGCCGTATTAACGCCACCGCCGCGCAGAGGAGCGCCAGAACCGCCACCAGGCCCACGCCCAGGCAGACGGCCGCCAGGCTCAGCTGGTCCCCGGCCTCCCAGCCTACGTTCGGGCTTGGGGTGACGGGCGGAGGCGCGGCGCTGGACTGGCACCGGGGGCCGACGTAGCGGCCGGGGCAGGCGCAGGCGGGCCGGCCCTCGGCTCCGGCGGTGCAGGTGCCGCCGTTCAGGCAGGGCCGGGAGGCGCAGCGGTCGGCGGGCTTCTCGCAGTGGCGGCCCGTGCGGCCCGGCGGGCAGGCGCAGGTGTAGTCGTTGATGCCGTCCACGCAGGTGGAGCCGTTGGCGCAGGGGTCCCGGGCGCACTCGTTGATGTTGACCTCGCAGCGCAGACCCGCGAAGCCCGAGCGGCAGCTGCACAGTCGGAGGGCACCGTGGCTCACGCAATGGCCGCCTGTGCGAAACGAAACAAGCGTTACGAAAGACTCCCTCGTCTCAAGAGTGTTCACGACACACGCACATCTGGAGAGGGAATGAGGCATTACCATTGGTGCATTGCAGCGAGGTGCATTTATCCACTTTCCTCTCACAGTTAAGTCCGGTGTAGCCCGGCAGACACTCGCATATGTAAGTGTTTCCGTTGTCGTGCTCTCTGCATTCGCCACCGTGAAAGCAGGGTGCATCTGCGCAGGTCAGCATCCTGTGTTCACAGTGTGTCCCTTCGAACCCTCGTGGACACGCACACCTATAGCCGTTCTTAGAGTCCTGCAGAGGAAAAAGACATAAAGTTTATCAAAAAGCTCCCCGTCAGATGTTTTCTTTATCGCATCCTGTTCGCGGCTGCCCCGACGAACCCTATTATCCTTAGTTTGACTTCTATTTACAGTACACACTCTGTGAACTGGGTCATCTACTGACTTGACAATCGATAGCATCCTCCTGGACTAGCAGATAGAGTGAGGCAAAAACAAAAACAGGAAAGCCTGTGTTGTGGGAAAGGAGGCAGAGAGACTTCCGGACTCACCAGGCAGTGGCCTCCATTGCGACAGGGCTGGCTATCACACTCCCTAACCTCCAAGTCACAGTTAACCCCGTTGAAGCCGGGCATGCAGGCGCAGGTGTAACTGCCCTGGCCGGTGTTCATACACGTGGCGCCGTTGGCACAGGGTTTGTGATGGGTGCAGTAGTTCAGATCTGCAAAAACAAATGGGTGGAAGTGTGAAAAGGCACCGCCCCTGGAGCTGCGGTCGTTTATTCGGAGAGAGTGCAAAGAGACGGTTTTCACGCACCTTGGTCGCAGAAGATGCCTCCCCAGCCCTCCTTGCAGGTGCACTGCCACGGCTCTTTACAGGTACCGTGTTTACAGGATGGATGGAGTTTACACACATCACAAAAGGGCCCCTGCCAGCCTTTTCTGCATCTGTACGTACATGAAACAGCACAACATGAACCGTTGGCTCGTGCACAAGTGAACGCGCATGTCCCATGACAGAGAGGGCACGTCATAAAAAGACATTGCCCACTGTTATTGTTTTATACGTGTATTTCATAATCCGTGCAAATGATTTTGTACAGAAAAACAAATAAATACACAGAAAAAGTAAAATACAGTGTTTGGCTTTTGGGAGATAATTAGGATCAGAGCTGTTATTTCCACAGTTGTTGTAAATGTGTATTATTGTGTTTGCTGTGGATCCCTGACGCCAACAGACACAGGAATCTAAATGTAAGTCTGAATAACACTCACTTGCACTCGCCAGGTAAGGTGCAGTTTCCGTTCCTTTCGTTGCATCCTCCGAGACAGATGGCTGAAATAAAACAGGGATGTCAGGTTTCGCATTTCCAATAAGCTTCGACAGACTTTTTTCTACCTGAACGTGTCATTATTGGTAAATGATTGGCGCGCGCGCTTTGTGGTGCCATTGACGGTGCGCATTGGTGTTTTTTTTAATTTTTTTTTTATCGTGTTAAACGGCTGTTTAGTGCGGAGCAGCTGCTTGTTCTCTAAAAAAAACAAAAAAAAAAAAACGGGACAGCTGTCCCATTGTTGTCGGTGGGCAGCTCGAGTCCCTGTTTGCAGCTGCTGCCCTACACCGCTCCAACAATAGAGCCCGCAATTTAGTGACGCGTGGCGGGCGATAATGCCGCGATTAACCCCGGCGCGCGCTGCCGGGCGACCACCGCCCGGGATTAAAAGCGCACGCTCCCTCAGAGAAAGTGTGTCGTCAAATTTCACCCTAATCGCTCCTCTCCAAAAAAAAAAAAAAAAAAACGCACCTGTGATGACGTAACAGGTCATTTAGACATTAGCGCTCTAAACGTTATTTGGACTCACCAGCGTGTCTTAAATGACACGCCGTCTTCATTTACAAAGCGAAAACGAGGTCGCGTTGCTGTTGCGCTTACGTTCTTGGCAGTATTCTCCCTTCCATCCGGGCAGACAGGCGATTTGCCCGTCGGGCCTGCAGGTGTAGTGGCCGAAGTGGTCGTCCCTCGGAGCGCATATTTTGGAGCACGTGTCCCCGTAGTAATGCTCGCTGCAGATGAAGCGGTAAGAGTACCTCAGCTCCGTCTGCGACCCCCTCTGCACCTCCGGGGTCCACTCGTGCCCTATTCCCAGCTTCCTTTTGATGTCAAAAGAACTGATCAAGGATTCGGGGTTGGTGGTATCTGCGAGGAAGAGAACGCCAGACACACAGTGATCATTTTAAAGCAAAAGCAGTTGCACAGATGCTCTATTGTGGTTCATTTAACAATACGCAATCTATTGCTCTGCTATCGCCTCGTTGTGAAGGACCTATCAAATAAAGGTGTAAAATCCAGGAAAAGGCTGCCATGGGATTTTTTCTGGCCAGGCTTCCTATTCTCACTCAAGCCCTCCACACTTTCCCATGCGTGCCAAAAATAAACACAAGGGAAGTGCAATTGTGTTGGAGAGATTTGATTGTGAAGAATTGTCGTGTGACTCATAAGTGCATCCTAACAAACACGCATCCATTAGGGCTGAAAACGCCAGATGCATTTGCCAGGACGTTATGTGAAGGTCAGCGACGAAATGTGGAACAGTTAAAAGTCATTGGAGGCTGCACGAGGCACGCCTCCCTCTGGCGGGGGACCGGCCGCGCGCGTCTCCTCACCTGCAGGTGGGACCGCTGCGGGAGAATACCGGGCTTCGATCAGCAACGAGAAAGCACCCTGCGGGGGACAAACGAGGACATAAACGTCACGGAAATGGACCGATTTACATATGCAAAATACTTATTTACATAGGTAATAAAATAGTGTTTTTTTTTTCATTTCATGACTAAAGTCAATCTGAATTTAGGATGCGCACATGCAGCCGGTTCCGTGGTTCCGCGGCCGGACAGGTGTTCTTACCGGCCAGGTGAAGTTGAGCGGCAGACGCAGCACGGCGTCCCGCTTGACGCTGAAGGAGTCGCTGCCCAGAACAGGTGTGGTGACTTTGCCAAATAAACAGTCTCCAGGAGACACCACGGTCTGGAAGTTCTTCAAACAAACCCTGAAATAAGTCCTGCAGCCGGTCATGCTGCAACTAAGTCCATTTGCCAGCAAACCTTTAGTATTCTGAAAGTGATGGAGATCTAATTCGAACACGCCTGATCCCAGAACCTAAAATGACACAAAGAGTGAGCACAACAGAATACTGCGAGGTTCGTTCCTAAAATAAATATGATCCAAGTTACAAAAGATAAAACAAACAGACTACCTGAGTAAATGAAGATACAACTATTGCGAGGACAAGTGGGAACCAAACGGCCATTCTTTAGAGTTTAATGTGCGTATCCTTAAAAAATATGTTTGTCCTCCCCCAAAAAAACGCTCCTATTCCAAATGGTGATGCCCAAAAAAAAATCGGAGTGACGACAAATAACGTAATCGGAATAAATATAATCCTCCTTCCGAAGCCTGTGTGACAAGATCCAGCTCCACAAGCCGTATCCAGAGGAAGAAAGAGAAAAGCAGTTATCCAGTGCTGGAGGTTAGACACGTATCAGTAACGTCAATATCCACAAGTGACTCTGTCTGCGGTCTTTATGTTGTCCATCCATCGTTCCGGTCAGATGTGGTTTGAGTTTGCTGTGCGGATGCGAGACTTGTGCTGCCGACAGTGATGCGAGCATGTGGCGGAGCATCAGCGCATACTGGCTCCCAGTGAGGGGTGTCAGACGTCCCTCCCAGTTTATATACCGCAGTGTGGTACCATTACGCACGCCAGTCAGTCAATAAACACCGCCCCCTCTCCTCGGCAACTTCCCTCTGCCTGAGAACATCACCATCGCCCATTGTGTTTTTAGCCAAATATGAACAGCGTGTTGCAGAGCCACATTGAAATGGTGAAAGGAAAAGCAGGTGATCAATGTAAATTAACCCTTGACTGGGATTCAACGGCACATTAAACTGTAAATAAACTGGATCATCCGGATTGTGCGCGCGTTTACGCTCCGGGAAGCTCCACGTGCCTCTCGAGCGTGTGACATCATCCTTCTTCCTTTCTTGATTTGTTTGTTTGTTTAAGCCAGAGAAGACGGAGCAGGAGAGATAACTGCACAGCTGTATGATAATGGGCTCGTGTTGCAAACATACATCAGATGGGGAACAAACAGGCGTTTTTTAAAGGACTTGTGGCGCGTAAATGATGATGAAGATGAGACGTCCGGTACTGTATCGATTTAAAAACCATATAATGATAATATGAGATGGTGTTTCTTTGGGAAATCTTTACTCACATGCCCCACACAGACTTTGTTATTTAGAAAATATAAATAATCGAGAGTTTTAGTGTTTCAGAAAGCTTTTGTTGACACATAAACACACATTGTGTTGCAGAAGGACAATAGCAGAACCCATTTAAACTTGTTTGTTTTGCTAACAAAAAAGACAATAACAAGCGCAAGCGCCCAGCTGTTCGGGTACTTTGTTTAGCATCAAAACCAATAATGCCCTCAATTCAAAGCCCATTTGTATATATTAAAGCGGAGATTGTATCCGACATTTAGGGTAACTCTGTTTGTTGAACTAACATCCACTATAGAGCCGAAGGAAAGAAACTTTCCTCTCCTTTCATGTAGAATTGTTCCGAGAGGGAAGCTGAAAAAAAAATGAACTCAAAACAGTATATAGAGCCTGCTAAGCAAATAAATTCCAAATGCCATATACATTTTTATCACACCAAAGTCATGCTGGGCACAGGCATTGTTACCTTCATCACCCCTGCAACAGGACAACTTGTCCGGGAGGATTCAGTGAGGGAACAGGATTCAGGAGCCGTTCCCTGGCCGGGAAGGTGACTGCAGGCTGAACAGCTCTCCTGCCGAGATGACTTCATCCCTAAACCCCGTCTCCCCCCCTCCTCCCCCCTCTCCTCCCCCACCCACCCCCACCTTTGACTTATAGGTTTGAAGTTCTACTCCAGCGCAGAGACAATGGACTATTGAGTGTCGAGCAGTGTGAGTAAGAGGCCCGGACATCTCAAAGCTGTGCTGTATTGGAGCGTTTGCCGTTCCCACCATTGACTGAGTCACGCAGATCCTGTGGACGGCCGATGCTGTGCAGCCGTTCAATCTACTCCTGTTCCCCGTTGAGCATGAAAGTGACTGTAACGCACTCGCGTACGAGAGATCGTACTAGTTCGTGTGACTGCGTTGGAGTCCCATCAATCAGCTAAAGGCTGCTCCCGCCCTCCCTTCATACACGTGAAAACATCCACACCTTTTAATATTTGATGGATCACGGTTAAGGTTTCCCAACTTAAGCTCAGGTTACAACTCTATGTAAAGCTTTTGGATTGTGTTGAACAAGCAGCGATGCTCAGATTGGATCTTCTTGGTGCCGAATGAAGGAAAACGCCGGCTTGGTGTATAACAGCCTTCTATACGTCACGCCTCACTAATATTTACATGTTAATAAGGGTTTATTAATAGACAGGAGGCCTGGCCAAAATAAAAGGTCATTTTAGCTGTATTAGTTCTTTTCTTATATGCAAACAATAATATAACGGACTCTGGAATAAACACAGCCATGGAAACAGAATCAACCCACATGTTCCATCTCAGCTTTGTTTATAGAACATCATTCTTCTTAATGACAATGTTTTATAAAGCTGACTTCTGAGTGTTATATGGCTTTTCAGCTGGCATCCAAACCCCCAAAAATAACATTTTGATGGGAAAACGAAGAGGTGTGAGAACGCCTGTGGATTTATTAGGCAAGTTGCTCTTTTAAAGCGTCTGATGCAATTGTTTGATTCTTTGTCAGACAGATGTTTTCCTTCTCAGCTGTTTTTGGAAGTTATAACGAAATGTTTGAAACCAAATGGATAATAATACAAATTTAACCCAATTTTCAATCTGCGCCTGATCTTTTCTTTAATTTTTCAATTGAAAAAACATCAGTCACACAATGTCGATACTTATTTATATCCCCAAAACATGATAATTAGTACGTCTCTCATTAACATGCAGATCAAAAGGCCTTCTTCAATTAATTGAGATGTCCTCAGCTAAATGCCAATATTTAATGCTGGACAGAGTGCGACTCAAACAGTGAACCCGATGCCACGAGGAACAAGTCACCTGGCCGTCTTTCACAGGTGAAAACGTTCAGTTCAGTGGCCTCAACCGTCTCAGGCCGCCGAAACCTAAGCGAGCGCGATGCGTGAATTAGCTACAGTGCTAACAGATGGCCCCTTTCGGGTCCAGAAATCTGCCCCGGTTCAATGTGGGGCAGTTTAACACTTCTTCACAGCGCATTTGATCCCCACGCCCCAATCTGTCGGGCCAATCAATGGGGCTTTTGAAGCGCGCTGCCAATGGATCTGAGGCATCCGAGCACGTCGCCCTCAGAGGAGAAACCACCTGCCGGGGGCAATTAGAAAAGCGAGGGGTGGTTTCCTTCCGTCCTGCCCTAATACTGCCTTACGGATACAAAAGGTCTCTACAGCTTTTTTTGGGGGGTGGGAGGGAGGGATTGTTGAAATAAGTGGGTAATAAGTGTACCATTTAATGTCGCTGTAAACGAGAATGAATTTACAACCACGTGACATACATATATATATATATATATATATATATATATATATATATATATATATATATATATATGTATATATATATATATTACCAAATGGACCCATCTTGGACCTCAAAGGGATTTCTGATTGGCATCGTATGGATGCGTGTTTACAGTCAGTTTGAACCTTCAGCTGACGTCAGGCAACCCAACGTCATGGTTGCCTTTTAACAAGAGTCCTGGTCTGCAGCGGAACTTTCCAGCCACCCTCTTGCTGTGCTATTGACAAAACAAGTACCATGTCGGTACTCCTCCACCCTCACAATGGAACCAACAACACAATTCCGCCACTGAAACCGCTGTTTCCAAACGTCACACCTGCGCCCGAGTGCAGCGACCGAGGAGACGTCTGGTGGGTGATGTGATCGTGTAAACGTTGGTAGACTGAGGAGTATTTTTACAGGAAAAGACACGTTTTTGAAAGACTCTTGCTCGCATAAATCATGCGGGTGATCTGAGGGCCACATGTGCAACAGCTGTCGGTGGGCCGGAGGGCCAAGAGACAGCAGCACATCGCACCGCCACCCCTTCAATAGTTGATATTGATCAGACCAGCTCCACCCTTGGACACACGGTCAGCAAGGACATGTAAGCGAGCCCACTTCTGCCTCTCGATCCAAACGTGTGTCCCAGCGAGCTTTTGAGTGATTACCAGGCTAATCGGGTGTCGCTGGAAGAAGCCGCTGTCTTTCTTGCCAGATCCAAAGCATCAAGAGAGAACCTCGCCGCAGGAAAAGGAAAGAGATAAACGGGGGACATGAAAGCGAGCGCTGGTGTGAAACGGGACTGTTAAAAGCACCATTGCAGATAATCCATCAGGAAGATCAGCCTGACTATGAAGCCTCGGTGTCACCAGGGGAAGTTCAACATAATCAGTAAACAGCATAATCATGACAATCATCTAGTAATTTCACCGCAGCATCTCATGCTGTTAGATGCTGGGTTTTGACCCCGGTTCAATTATCCAGAGACTTAATAATCTCTTATCTGCTTTTTCTTCCTGCACTTCCTGACCGGGGGGCACATGGCCTCTATAGCACAGGACACTATATTATTGTTTATTTATACAGACGGATCTAGAGGTATTTTCGGCGGGGTCTGTTGTTATTTCCTCTCACGATTTGAAAATCCTATTTGTCCCTTTTCCATTTGGTCTGCACACGAGCGGCTCCTGGGACTTTGCTGTGCTGCCGTTGCCCGTTTCGTTTAATGCGCGAGCACGCGTGTGCGCGCGCGAAGGTGAGAGCAATCTCACGAACCCGCCTTTTCCCCACCCCGCCGAATTGACCTTTTGTTTGTATTCCATTTAGCTGGCTTGAACTGCAGTTGACCCCATAACTACTCACTGTGTACACACAAAGCCATCTCCACTCTGCAGGATAAACAGCAGATGCAGATCCTTTTGTGCGGAGCGATTGTTACCCGAGTCAACCCCCGACGCCGTGGTATTAACAGCGGTGTAAAGCACAGATGGAAGATGTACGTTTGCACGGATAGTTTGTGTTTCTGCGGCCGCCGAGCGAATGGGACCCACCCCGTGTTTGACATCACTTAGGCCTCTGTCCGTGCTGAGACAACAGGCTTTGATTAGTTCTCTCAGCGGGAGCCCGGTGGCGAGGAGTCCGCCGCGGCCCTGTTGGTCCAGCAGCGGCTCGTTGAGGTTGGTTCTTCGCCGGTGACACCGCGGCGAAGGGCTGCGTGTTCACGCTGACGGATGCGTTCTCACGGACTCTAACCAGCGCAGTGCGGCGGGGAAGCGCTCGGTCTTATTTGTGAAGCTGGCCCACCGGGGGCCCCGGGGGGAGCTCACTCGCCGCCGTGCCTAATAGCCGTGGAGTGTTTCTCCAACTTGACCCGCAAGTCCCAAGTTACCCCGGTTGTTACCCCTCGGACTTGGCTCTCATGGCCAATTTTCATGTCTCTGTCCAATATTTGACATCTCTCAAGAACTCTGTGCTCTCCTGTTCACACTTAAAAAACAGCGATATGTTCACATTTTAAACAGCTTTCAGTCTTATGAGGAAAAAGCCCTGGATAATGAACGTGTGAAAGGGACGACCCCTCGCGAAGTGCTGAAATAACGCTACCCGTTACGTCGCTCCTAGATGCGCACATCAGGACGTCTTATGTTTTCTTTGGCGCACTTGGTAATGGATTAAGATAAATTGTTAACTGTTCCATGCATATTAATCTTTCTGTTCAGAGTTTGTGTTCTCATACACTACGCGATGATTTATTAGCCGGGGTGATGAATGACGCTGATAGTATAAGTGTTGACCCAGCACATTTTAACAGTTGTTGGTCCTTGCAGCCACACTGCAGAGCAAAAACACGGCGCAGTGCAATACAGCGATGCTAACTACATTACATGTATGTAGTTGTGCAGGTTTTCACGATGTATCATCAAGACAAAGTTGTTTTTTTGCAATAAAGGAAACGATAATGCATCTCAGCAGTGGTACTCCAGAGACTGCCACAATATTTGAGCAAAACTAAATGTTGTCTAACTATTAACCGGGCTGCGATAGCAGGAATAGCATAGCAATAGCACAGGCTAACAGGCTAACAGTTACTCATTCTATTGCGCTCAGGCACATTAACCTGACATGTGTCTATGTGATCATTATCTTATTTTGTTGGGCTTCGTTGAAAATAGAAAGCTAGAATTTAGTGTGAATTTATTGTGAATTTATTGTGTGGTGTGTAATGGAAAGCCGTCTTTGCTCTCCCTGGTTGTGGTGGTGACAAGTGTCCACTGGTCACTTTTTTTTTTGTCGTTAGCCTCCGCCCTCCACCTCCCGCCCTCTCGCCCTCGCCCCATCCTCGGCCTTACCCCGAGCCTGGGAGCGGAATTCTGGGAACATTTTTCCATGTGAAATGCCGAGGTTCAGTCGAGGGGTGTGACGCCAGTGCATTGTTCCAGCAGCAAAAAAAGGAACCGCTTGTGATGAGGCCAATTCCTGTTGGTCCCAAAAAAACAGGCACTTTCTCACACCGACTTCCTTCCTCATTGGACAGCACAAAACAATCCCAGACCAACCAACAGAGCTGAGAAGAAAGGAGAGACAATGCGAGAGCAGTAGGAGCGGTGAGATTGCATTTGAAGAGACGTTCAGGTGTCCTCTGCGATCGGCCGCCGTCACCTGACTGCCTTTATCTGTGGTGCGAGACCCCTCCGCAAGACACGTTTACGCTTGTGCACCGTATGTTTGACAGCGAGGGGCTCTCATCTCTACTGCCTGAACAATCGGCATCACTTTCGAGA